ACCCGCCTCCGCGCAGAGCGAAGCTTCAACCAGGCCGGCCTCCCGGGCAGCCCGAACCTGCGGAACCTGCGGAGGCCCACGGAGCTCTGAACTGAGGTCGGTTTGCGGAGTGCAACGTTGTCGTTTTCCAAAAGCGGTGAAACCCAAGCCTCCTCTCCGTGGTAGACCCTGGGAACAAATGCCCCTCCCATAGCCCTAGAGCCGTTTATATATGGGTTTAATCCTCTTAAGTTTTTCCTTTGTACTTTTAAAAGTTTTTTTTTATTGTTGATCGTATTACAGATATCTCCCATTTCCTCCCACCCCTACCATTGATGGCGAACCTATGGACACGCGTGTCAGAGGTGATACGCGAACCCATTTTTTTGGTTGATTTTTCATTGTTAAATGGCATTTAAATATATAAAATAAATATAAAAAATGTAAGTCTTTGTTTTACTATGGTTGCAAATATAAAAAAAAAAATCTATATGTGACACAGCACCAGAGTTAAGTTAGGGCTTTTCAAAATGCTGACACACTGCAGGCTAGGTCATCCCCTGGGGCTGGGGCTGGGGCTGGTAAAAGCCTGCCTGGTGCACAGCTCCGGTCCTTCCTGTGCACACCCATGTCCAGGAGAGGCAGCCACAGACTTGATCTCTTGCAGCTCCAACCAGATGGCCCAGGGGCACTCACAGATAGTGTCTGACATGGGCCTGCACCAGAGTCCCGCCCAAGAGGCCCCAGAAACACCTAGGATAGTTTCAGGGACCTTTCAAACAAAATGAAACACGACAACACCCGCATCATGGTGGTGGGAGAAGAAGAGGGAGAACTAGGGATGAAGAACCTATCTGAAGAAATAACAAAAAAATTCCACAGTGTGGTGAAGAAAAAAGACACACAAGGCCAGGAAGAAATTCCCAAACAAGATGAACACAGAGGCCCACACCAAGACACATCATAATAAGACAGAGGCAAGTGTGTGTGTGTGTGTGTGTGTGTATACACAATTACATACATATATATAATTGATTGATTTCATGGAGAGAAACATCATTGTTGAGAATCATTGATTGACTGCCTCCTGCACGCCCCACCCTGGGAATGGAGACCCAAGCATGTGCACTGACCGGGAACCTAACTGTGATCTCCTTGTTCATAGACAGACACTTAACCACTGAGCCACTCTGGCTGGGCAAGAGGCAATCTTAACAGCCAGAGAAAGACAGTTAGTTACCTATAAAGGAGCTCCCATAAGACTGTCAGGTGATGTTTATCTCCACAGAAATATTTCAGGCCAGAAGGCATTTGTTTGAAATATTCAAAGTCATGAAAAGTGAGGACCTAGAAACAAGATTACTTTACCCAATGATGCTATCATTTTTAAATTGAAGGAGAAGCTTTGTGCAGTGGCAGTATCTTAGCCAATGAGGTTTATCCAAGGCATGATTATTGCTAATTGAAAAAATAATAATTAAAATAAAATTGGAGACATAAAGATCTTGCCAGACAAGTAAAAGCTAAAGGATTTCATTACCACTAAGGTAGTACTACAAGAACTGTTATAAGATCTTCTTGAAGATGCAAAAGGAGAAAAGAAGAAAGAAAAAAAAGGTAAAGAAAGCAGGTGGAAAAATAAAATGGCAAAATATATGTACCTATCAGTAATCACTTTAAATGTAAATGGCTTAAATGCACCAATCAAAAAAACATATATATAGTAGCTGAATGGATGAGAAAACAAGAACCAAATATATACTGCCTACAACAGACCCACCTCAGAAGTCAAGATACACCCAGACTAAAAGGGATAGAAAAAAGTATTTCATGCAAATGAAAAAAAGCTGGGGTAGCAAGTGTGGTGAGGTCCTGTGGTGGAGTGGGAACAGGGTAGTAGGGGATAAAGGGCAGGGGACATCTGTAATACCCTCAACATAAAAATAAATTTGAAAAGACACGGAAAAATAAGGGTTGGCAAGAATATGGAGAAATTGGAACCCTCATACACTGACTGAAAATGCAAAATGGTGCAGCCACTTTGGAAAACAGTCCGGCAGTTTTTTAAAAGGTTAAAGATATGATCTAGCAATTATATTTATAAATACATTACCAAGAGAATGAAAACATATGTTTACTTGGACGTGGATGTTCATTACAGCATCATTAATGCCAAAAGTGGAAACAACCCAAATGATGACTAGATTAAAAAATGTGATCACTCCATACAATGAAATGTTATTCAGGAATAAACAGAAATGAAGTACTTATGACACATGCTACAGAATATTAGGTACCTTGAAAACATTGCTAAATAAAAAAGGCAGTCACATAAGATTCCATTGATATGAAATGTCCAGAACAGACAAATCTGTAGAGACCAAGAGTACAGTAGTGGTTCCCTAGGGCTTGGAATGGTGGGGAAGTAGAAAGTGGCACAGGATAGTTGCTAAAGGGCACAGGGCTACTTTATAGGGTGATGAAAATGGATTGTGGTGATGACTATAATTGTGAATATAGAAAAAGCCATGAATTGTACACTTTAAATGAGTGAACTGCATGGTGTGTTCATTATATCTTAATAAAGCTGTTACCAAAAAAATAAAATTATATATATATATATAGTGACTGAAGATTTGACTTTGGATGGTGAACACAATGCAGTGTACAGATTATGTATTATAGGGTTGTATACTTGAAACCTATATAATTTTATTAACCAGTATCAGCTCAATTAAGAAGTTGTGGTACATATATGCAATGGAATATTATTCAGCCATAAAAAAGAATGAAATCCTACCATTTGCAACAACATGGTTGGACCTAGAGGCTTTTATAGTAGGTGAAATAAGACAAAGACAAACATAAAATTTCATCTATTTGTGGAATATAAAAAACAATAAATGTACAAACAAAACAGAAATAAACTCATAAGCACAGAGAACAAACATGGGTTGCCAGATGGGAGGGGGACTGGGAGACTGTGTGGGAAAAATTGGAGGGATTAAGAAATACAAATTTGCAGTTACAAAATAGTCATGGCAATATAAAGTACAGTTTAAGGAATATAGTCAAAGATGTTGTCATAACTATATGTATGATGTCAGGTGGATGCAAGACTTATTGGGGGCATCATTTCACAAGTTATATAAAGGTTTAACCATTATGTTGTATACCTCGAACTAATATAGTATTGAATGTCAACTATAATTGAAAAAGAAAAAATTTCTTTAAAAAGAGAAAAATATTTGGATAACTGATTTATGACACTAATTTTAAAAATCCCATGAATATTATATAAAAGGATGATAAAAGAAAACACCAAACAAAACTTCTTAAATAGTTTAGGAATGCTAAAAAATAAAGTAAGAATTTTTTTTAGCTTATTAAAATTGCATAGCGAGAGCTTTTCTCATGCTTGGTTCTATTCCACTTCTCTCTAAATTTTCTTGTGATTACACTGACATTTTCCTCCTTTTCATTATAGACAGTCATTCCAAAGCAAACCCAAATGTTAAAAGCAATCTTCAAAAAAGCAGTCACAGAAAAGTGAGAATTACCTTTTATTTCACATTAATAGAAACAGTGGAAAAATTTACATTTTTCCCACATTACAGCACATTTCAACGGAACATCTCTTACTATACATCATATCTTGCTGATCTGTATAACTGAAACAAATTTATATTTTTCAAGGTAAATCAAAATGACTTATTAAATGATTGTTTAAAAGTTCTAAATCCAGACATAAACGTATGGCTTCATTATTAACATTCTACATAGTCCATTACTAAATTATAATAAAGGTGCATTCCTAACATTGTTTTAGTCAGTTGGAATACAGAAGAAAAATTATAACAGTTCAGAAATAGGAAGCGTACATTTTTGTTACACATTAAACTGTGTGGTAACCATATGCATTGAGGTCTGACTAACCTTCATTGCCGCTAAATTTGTTTTCAAATAGTTTTTACCAATAACCTAAAAATTCCAACTATTTAAAATCAAGTAATTGCTACTTTTATATTTGCACAAAGGTTTTTTTTAAAAATCATCTGGTTAAAGTGAAAATTTCAAATATCATTGGCAGATGAGAGTAAAGCAAATTTTTCTAATGGACTGTTCATTTCCTACAGTAGCTGACTTCAAACATATGTACAAAATATGCAAACTAAAATTCTCTGCTACAAGGAGAATCATCTTAGAGCAAATCATCTTAGAAATACAGTTTTTAAGATCGGTCTTAAATCTTCCAGAACATACTGGACTATGACCTAATAATTATTTGAGTTAATTACAGAAAAATACAACCACAGAATTATTCCTTACCTAGACTGAAGATTCTATTAACTTATATAGGTCTAACTTTGGACTAGGTACAGTTTAAAAAATAAGTAATGTACGAAGTCTGAAGTGATGTTTGGTTTCTTTATATAAGTGTAAATACATTTTAAATACCATCATGTTTGTGATTCAGAATGTCAAATTACAGCATATACTGACAGCAGATGTCTATGGCAAGGAGGCAATATTTGGTCTGTTATGAAGGATAAAAGGAAAGAATACATTTGTTTTCTAGAGAGGAAAATAGAATATTAAGAAATTGTG